GCCAACAACTGTCAAATGGTCGGGAACTTTATTCTTTGATAGTACATGAATGAGTCGGTGTGACAGTTGGTGTGAGCGAGACAAAGTTCGACAGCAAACAATTTGGTCGTGTCAGTTTAAATGTTCTTTATCTTAAATTGTTTACCCCTAAAGATTTTTCAAGTGTCATCCTAATGAACCACTGCTAGATTTAGGATTTAAAAATTTTAAAAAAGTATACTCGTATATGATAATTTCATTTTTTACAGTTTAAGATGCCAATCGTTAACATATTTAAAACTGTACAAAATGAGGAGACACGAGGTTAAAGAATGCCAAAAAACAATATCAGAATATTTATCGAAAAGTGGCTTTTCCGAAGTGCCAAATGGTAATACACCGTCACCATTGTCTCCAACAAATTCAGTTGGTTCACAGGTAATATTAACTGAGATGAACTGGCCAGATGAAGAGATTTACGAATGATCTTTTTTAGGGTTCTGGTTCGAATACACCGCCCTGTTCATTAGTACCAATTCAAGTTCATGGTGCATTTCAGCGACAAGATATGTTCTTTAACTACTTGGTTATGTGTCATGATTTATGGGAACTAGCAGATGCAACTGTTATCAAGGGAAATCATACAGGTTAGTGACTATTTTTATTACTAGATATTTTCAAAGATTACACAGTGCAACAATTAAAAAAAAAAGTCAGACAACCGGGACTTGACATATCAGAGGTGTTAGTTCTACTATAGGTGAGCAAAACCCTAGCTGGGTTTTGAAAGTTTAGTAGCGGTTTTTATTTTATCGACCTAGGAAGTTTTTGGGATTCAGGGGATTCTCCAGAGTTGACTTCTTCAGTTTTTGGTCAAAAACTCATCTGGTATTGGTAACAACATCTTACTGTCTTGAGCAAAGTTGTAGTTAAAGGTCCAATGAACAAGTTTTGTGAACAAACTAATCCAAAAGAATCACATTTGGTGGGTGCTAGAGGACCAAATGTCCGAAAAAAGTTAGATTTTTTCAGTTTTTCGACCATACCTCGCGCAATATAGATTCTTTTCAATTATTTTCTTTGACAAAATTATAGCCAAAGGAAAAACAAACAACTCTCTAGAACATATTACTTCGAAAAAAATACATCCAGTCCACTTTACTGGCTAAAAATCAATTTTGGCTACCAAACAACACTTTTGAGCATTTTTTGAAGTCCTATAACTCCTAAACTGATCGAAATAGAGCAATGGTATCTGAAGCAACTTTTTAGTACTGCTTAAGATCTTTGCATGTTAAGTACTAAAAGAACTAAAATAGTACTAAAAATGTACTAAATTGTACTAAATTGCTTAAAACCATTTTGATGGCCATCGGCAACCGACACTGCGCCTTCTTGACAGTTCTCATATAAATGAGCCCAGAAGCGCCAACTGGTGCAAGAACATGTAATAGAACCGTTGTATACCAATAGTATTAAAAGCTTACACGTTGGGTATACTGTTATTGACTGTTTTGAATAGTAGTTCTTTCACATAAAAACATAAAAATCTGCTTGCATTACACTTAATCTCTCTTATTCCATTGATATTTTTTCCAAAGGAGAAAAAAAAATTTCAAGCCTCAATTGCACAGCATATCACTATTAGAATCATTGTGTCAACATGAATCAACCAATAAACAAACCAAAACAAACACAAACCACACAATGAAATACCACGTTTGTATAAATATAGCAATCACTTGAAGAGAAAAACTCAAAAAAACATGTTTCAATAAAAAACAATATTCTAATATAAAGCTGTCAACGGACAGAAGGTTGTCCGTCCGTCCGTCCGAAAAGTTCGGACGGACAAAATTTGTTCGTCCGAACTTTTTTTCGGACGGACAGATTTTGTCCGTCCGAAAAAAATGAAAATTTCGGTTTGGTAGCCAAAATTGATTTTTAGCCAGTAAAGTGGACTGGATGTATTTTTTCGAAGTAATATGTTCTAGAGAGTTGTTTGTTTTTTCTTTGGCTATAATTTTGTCAAAGGAAATAATTGAAAAGAATATATACTGCGCGAGGTATGGTCGAAAAACTGAAAAAATCTAACTTTTTTCGGACATTTGGTCCCCTAGCACCCACCAAATGTGATTCTTTTGGCTTAGTTTGTTCACAAAACTTGTTCATTGGACCTTTAACTACAACTTTGCTCAAGACAGTAAGATGTTGTCACCAATACTAGATGAGTTTTTGACCAAAAACTGAAGAAGTCAACTCAGGAAAATCCTCTGAATCCCAAAAACTGCCTAGGTCGATAAAATAAAAACCGCTACTAAACTTTCAAAACCCAGCTAGGGAAAACCGTCAACGGCGAATTTTTTGTTTCGCTAACTGGGGGTTTCCGCTTTATAGAGGTTCCGTTATAGGGAGGTTTTACTGTATTTATGCGTTTCGCTGAACACAACGCGCGAAAAATATTAGATATTTTTGGACTCTGAACATTGAACGCGTTGAACGTTGAACGTTGAACACAACGCGTGAAAAATATCTGTTATTTTTATGCGATATTTCTATCCCATATGAATCCCACCATTGATAAAAATCTTCAACTCGGTCATAAGTGAATGAAATTTTTACACAAGTTAGGGTTTGAAGAGCCCTTCCGATCCCACGCTTAGGGTACCTCCCCAGATACCACCTGACCCGATTTTTGAGCTTCCAAACATTCAGGATGAGAATAGAAAATTTACCCCCCCTTTAGAGGTCGATTTTTTTTTCGATTCGCCACCTGAAATGGTTGAATTTTAGCAAAAAAAAATTTTGGGACAAAACTCAAAATTTTTCCGATTTTTTTACTGTCATGCACCACAAAATGGTCAAAAATGGTTGAAAATGGCCTCTGATGATGTTTTGATCTAAGAAAACTGTCATTTTTCCACCAAAATACATTAATGTATGACCCCTTGAACGTCGCTTTACCTATAAATTGGATCTGAATTCGACATTTCTCCATAAAACGAGCTATCTCAAATCCTGTCTGATGGGTCTAAAAGGTCGAAAAATGGCCATGCTTCAGAGGATGTTTTCAACTCGCAATACTTTATACAGAAAACCACTTTTTCTACTTCAAAAATGCTTTATTCTGGGTTCCATCGTATATAACCTTTTAATTTCTATTCCCATCCTGAATGTTTGGAAGCCCAAAAATCGGTTCAGGTGGTATCTGGGGAGGTACCTAAACTGGGGATCGGAAGGGCTTTTCAAACCCTAACTTGTGTAAAGATTTCATTCACTTATGACCGCGTTGAAAATTTTTATCAATGGTCCAAAAATTCTGAAATTGGCAAAATTTCGATTTTTTGACCAACCGTACAGGGTCTCGAGTAAAGGTGTCAACGGACAGGCACCTTGTCCGTCCGTCCGTTTGACACCTTTAGTCTCCAGAGGAAGACCCTGGGGAAAAATTTTGGCTTTCTGAGTTTTTGTTCAAAACCAACTTCCATGCAAAATTTCAGCCCATTCTGAAGACCATTTGCGAATTTTGGCTGATTTCATGTGGAATGGTCGCTATGGGATATTTTTATTCACATGGGATAGAAATATCGCATTAAAATAACAGATATTTTTCACGCGTTGTGTTCAACGTTTAATGTTCAGAGTCCAAAAATATCTAATATTTTTCGCGCGTTGTGTTCAGCGAAACGCATAAATACACAATAGCGATTCTGCACACAGAGTCGCTGTTTTTTCGTTATACTGTTCACACTTACGATGAGCTGCGTGGAGCGTGCATGCACATATTTCGCTCACTTCTTTCTTTGAACACTCTTCGAGTGTCAACACAATGTCTGTGTGTGTATCGCTTGTGCCGTCGTTTATAAATGTTTGTCGACGTCAATGAGCTGGGTACGAAGAGTGTCGATCGAAAGAAAAGAGCGAAACATATTAATGCATGCATCGCGCAGCTCATTGACGTCGTTGATACACACACTTTCAAAGAAAGAAGTGAGCGAAACATGTGCATGCACGCTCCACGCAGCTCATCGTAAGTGTGAAGAGTATAACGAAAAAACAGCGACTCTGTGTGTGCAGAATCGCTATTGTGTATTTATGCGTTTCGCTGAATACAACGCGCGATAAATATTAGATATTTTTGGACTCTGAACGTTGAACGCGTTGAACGTTGAACGCAACGCGTGAAAAATATCTGTTATTTTTATGCGATATTTTTATCCCATATGAATAAAAATATCCCATAGTAATCTCTGGTTATTTTCGTAATTTATTCATTTAATAACGCCGCCAAGGCTGGCTAAATCAATCACAGTTTTTCCGAAAAGTATTATAGATATTTCCTCATTTTCCTAATATAGATTTCTTCATTGGGCTTGATCATGAAAATGGACCAATAACATTGCACAGCTCACTTAGCAAAGTGGTTAAATATGTTCACGCCGGTTTGCAAAAGCTAAAACAAATGTGAATTCGATAAAAAAAAAATTGACGATTTTATTTAGTTTGAAGTAACTAAATCATTTTCAATTTTATACGACAGAAATTATTACCCGCTGCTGTAAGGCATAAGAAGTAAAACCAAAATTTTACACAAAGGACAAAATTAATGGAATAAGAAAATATTATATATAATGATAATTAGTGAATTCTTTTTATATTATTTCATACTTAACAGTTTATTTATCAAAAACAACAATCAAAGAATAAAAAATAATTGTTAAACTTATTCAAATACAATCCCAAAAATATGTGAATAGACAGTTGTTTTCTATCTCTTCTCATAGTAATTTCACGCTTCTTACAAGAAGCAAAAATAAGTTTTAATTTATTTTATTTTATTTTAATTCAGCTTTAATCTTTTACAACCAAAATAAACGATTACTTTAAATATATAATTTGCAGTCATTCAGTTGTAATTGCCATTTGTGTATGCTTTAACCCTTGTCTGCTGCTCCAACAAAATCACGTATCTGTCGTTACAGTGTAAATTTTACACTCTACATGAAAGGGCCAAGGAAAAGGCTTCTGTACCGATTGGCTTCATATTTTCCAAGACTCAAGTTTTGAGCAAAAAATTAAAACCTACTAAGTTTGAAGTCAATCGATAAAGAAATAAAGGTACCTCCATACCAATTTTGCTATTTCAGAAATTAAATTAGAAACTTTTGTATGAGAGGTACCCCAATTTTCCATCAGATTGGCTCCAAATTTGGTTTGGTATCGGATTTAGATGAAAAAATAAAATTCCCGAAGTTTTATGAGTTTTCGATCTTTGGAACATGATTATTGGATTGCATTTAATTCTGATTTTATTCATTTTTCACGTTCGCCAGCGCTTATGTACAGCTGTTACTTATTTATTGGTGGTCATACGATAGATCTGACTGTGGCCAAATTTATATAAATTCAATGCTCTTTACGATAAAACTTTGAAACTGGCAAAAATCACTCCGAATTTGATGTATATTTAATCCGGTAGTTGGTGAAATCGACCAGTTTCAATGTTCATTCCTCATATTTATGGTTCATAAAATTCTAACCACTGCTCGAGTTAAAATTCTCTTTGTTACCAAGAATTAAACACAGTGAGTTTTAAGTATAATTCAACTTTATTGAGTAACAGCTGATAGGTCGTGTACAGACTGATACCACGTAAAAACTATACGCTGTGGCTCATTTGCCCTATATATAGTTTTTGGAAATGCTTAGAAAAATGAAACTGAAAAATATTTATATTATTGTTCGATTCTAGAACGATTCCGAATGCTTACTGTTTGTATGGAATTTGCTGTACGTTGCGCATTAGTCATATACTAATGGCTCAAATGCATTGCCGAACTTATTGTCATACATGCTTCATGTGTTTATCGTCATGCCAATTATGTTTATATTTCAATATGTTTATCAAGTGTCCGATTCTGAAACGCATTCGAATCGTCAACAACAGTGGAATTACCTCTTCCCCCCGTTAAAAGAAATTGTCCCCAATTTCGCATCGAACAATGCTCTGACGTAAGCATTTGATCTTTCTTTTTGTTTTCCCGCTCTAAAGGCGTTATACAGTTTGCAGAACTTAATGACAGTTTATAATGATTAATATTGATATGGAAATTGCGATGCAAATGAGAGCACTTATTATCGGATGATTTTCAAATTCTATGGATATTTTTTCGATTGCCGTTAAGGTAGGTATTTTCAACTTTTCGTTCTGACTTTCGATTACTTCCAAAATGTCATACTGACTTGATCTGTTTCTGCGCAAATAACTTGAAATCAACTTTTTTTCATTTGTGAAATTTCGATTATCAATACAAACTGAATCATTGAACAATACCAGAAACGTTCCCGTTTTTCCGATTTTTTCAATTGTATGCGTGCCATGTACAAGAATTTTTCCATCATCGATTTCTTCAATTGAAGTAAGTTGAACTGTCAGAGTGTAAACAATGTTTTTTACCGCTCTGCAATTTAAGAATTTATTTTCGAGTTTTTTTCAGAATGTTTGAACGTTTTACAACTTTTCTTTGCTACAACGTGAAAATTCAATGTTAAATTTCATCGAGAAAAGTGAAGTTTATAGCAATCAACCAAAATTTACGGGAAAAAACTGAATGGATTTGTTTTGTTTTGGCGCTTGAAACAATAACACATAAACATAACCACAACATGTTAACAACATGTTAACAACACAACCCCACTGCTGCGAAAAAAATAATTGTCAAGGAATGAGATACAACGAATGGTCACTTAATTGCCGATTTTGCAAAAACAAAATAATTGTGGAATGTTTACGAAATCGAGATGAGCTAAGAACAAAAGATCTGCTGCATGCTTTCGGATTAATGTCAAAAAAACCAACAGATAGTGGTGGTTTAAAATGGGAAGTGCTTCCAAATGATCCGAATAGAACGGCTGCTTTCTTTCAAATGTTCAACGTTGATTCACCATTCGGAATTACTTGTGAATCGTGTGTGGAAAAAATTGAAATGCTGTTGAGAACTCACAATGATGTTAACACCGCGGCATCCAGTGCAATGCTACATCAAAATGAATTAAACTTGCAACAAATGCGTGATTTAATTGCCGAATCAGTTGAGAAGAAAATAACTGACAAACTGAATGAAAACTTGACACATTTGAGCGCCACAGAATCATCAAGTCACAAAATCAAAAAGAGCACGAATAACAAAACGCCTGTATGCGATGAAAATGGTCTCTATTCATTATACATATCCAAGGCTGATAAATCCGTTACAACTGAGGAAATGATTAATTACGTGATAGAAAAAACAGATTTGGACAATGGTGTTTTCAAAATTGTAATGCTACCCAGTAACAGAGGCAACCAAAAAACATACACCGATTCAAGTTGACGACGTTTGCACCTGAAGTCTGTGAAAAAATCATGTCACCCGCCAATTGGTCAACAGAATTTCGTGTAAGAGCGTTTGGAAAAAAATATCGAATGCGTAAAAGTAATAAACGGCAAAATCCGCGCTCTGAAAAATGGCAGGAATACAAACGATCATATCGAAGCGCAAACTATCGTAAACGGAACAACACCAACAACAACAACAATAAGCGTCAGGGCATGAATAACCAACACAGAAATCGACGTGAAGATCGATCGGATGAATTTGGCTATTATAACCGAAATTGTAATAATCAAAACGGTCGATATACTTATGAACCTCGCCATCGTGAACATCGTGTAGATCATATGCATCGTGAACAAATGCCACAGACCAATATGCCGCCTCCTTTTTGGTACCAAACGCCATATTTCTACCCTCCACCTCACCAACAGGTTCATTCTCAGCCAACTATGCCACTATTCCATCCGCACTATCCACACGCACCACATGCACCACATCAAACCTTCCAACCATTCAACGTTCAAAATCACAATGGAATGTATCCAAGACCAAATTTGCGTCTTTTCATCGCGCGATCTTAA